TGTGAGATATATATATATATATAAGATATATATATATATATATATATATATACATACACACACACACACACACACACAAGAGGTTTTCCTTCCTTTTCAAACTTAAAAGCATTTGGAAAAAAACAGTGATTGATTCTGGTAAGGTTGAAAGCTCATGAAATAGCTTCTACTTTCTTTATAATTGGAAGATATGCCTGACCCTTACTCCTCAATCACTACTTAGAATTAGGATGCAAATTACAAGTGCAAGATATGTGAGTGTCAAGGTGTCAGCCACCAAAACACCTGAATTTGCTTGAATAAGTAACCTTAATACTTTAATAGGTTGTTTGCCTGTAACAACTGCTGAATAGTCTAAATGAAGGTTAGTTGATTTGAAATACAAAGTGCACTTTAAAGACAAATTAATCAGCAAGGACAACTTATTATTTTTATTGAATTTAACTATTGGTTATGCTTGAAGCAACCAACAAGTTGGAAACAAGCTGATGTTTTTATTAAATGAATGGTATTTGAAAATATTTATTAGTGACATGAAATAGATTGAATTAGGATGTGGTGCAAAATATTTACTTATGTTAATTACCGCAAAATGCTGAAGAATAATAGACAATCCAATAGGCTTCTTTGTGGACATACTTAACTGACTTCAGTAAAATGAGGAAGGACAAAACAGAAAAAATTCCTCATCCCTTGTTCAGTTTTGAGCTTTCCAAGGCTCTGTTAGAAAACCAACTTCTTCTTAGAGCTTTAGAAGAATGAGTGCATGTTTGGTTTTTAAGAAAATACTTTTCCCTAGGCATGATGGCTTCTTCCTATAATCCTTGCACTGACAAGGCTGATGCAGGAGGAGCTCTGTCTATTCAAGGCCAGCCTAAGCTACATAGTGAAAGTTCAGCTTGCACTACGTAATGAGACACTATCTAAAAAAAAAAAAAAAAGAAAAATCACTTTTCATTGAAAAAGTACTAAATAATGTAACTTTGCACTTGAAGGTACATACTTGGTCTACTAATATATTGAATATCATTATTTTAGATGGAGTCCTTTCTTTCATAGTATTTACACTGACTTTTCAGTGATTTTTAAAAAATGATTTCTTCATTTCTACTTGTGGTTGAGATAACACTTTCAAGCTCATAATCAACAGTTGTGTTGTTCTTTAGGCATCAGACTGGGTTCCTCCAGGAATTAGATTTCATTGAAAATAAAAGAAAGAAAAAGCAATTTTATCTTTTATTTTTTTCCCACATGTATATTTTACCAAAGATATAAATTTTAATATCTTTTTGTGGAAGCTTGGGTTTTAATTATTTTCTCAGGGACTGACAATTCCATTTTCCCAAGTGATAAGTTAATGTGCAATGCTGGATTATCCATCACATTTCATTATTCAGCTGCATAATACCCATATGGAAGTTAGTCTCCTGAAGCCGATGACTAAAGTACCATTCAGTATACCAGTGATTTAGTATACAGCATAGTACGTCAATATCCATAAATAGCTAACAAAACATCAAAAATTATGTAATTTGCTTTGTTGAAATATTTTATTAATACCCAAATTTTATAGTTGCCAATGCAATGGCAAAGTATCTGTATTTATTATAATCCCAAGAGATACATATCGCTCTTTCTATTTTACAAACGAGAATATTATAGACACAAAAGGTTTTCCTTTACTGAAGTATCTTTGACTGTTTAGGGACAGGAATGGACATTTTACACAGACTGATAGTGAGTCCTATGCTGGTTCCTATAATACAACTTCCTCTACTTTCAGCCATCGGAGGCTATTTAAATTCTCTTCCAAGATGAGGAAATAGTCTCAGAATAAGATACTAAATTACCAGCTTTTAGTGAGTAATCTGGGGGATGCAAAGCAGAAATATTTCAGAGTGTTTGAAATTCATAGTTTTTGTACAATAGTGATTGAAAGAAAATCAAATCGATGTGGCCAAATAGGGTACAAAGTATATTTTTCTTTTTCTCAGACCTCTGAAAAAATATGATTGTTGTTTAACAGAAAAAAAAAAAGTACTTCTGTAGCAGTACAGCAGACGTTTTCTCTCTAGTGACATGCATGAGTGGGTGGTGAGTATTTCAGATCTGAACACTGAGTTCTTATGAACAAAAAATGTATAATGGCTGGATTTTCTTTTTATTTTTTTCTGCTTGGCCATCACACAGTCTTTTAGAGTC